TGATGATGATGATGATGATGATGATGATGATGATGATGATGTTGACGGCGACGACGACGGCTGCGGCACCTCAGTTTCGACGGTCTTTTAGCATGGCGACAAGAGCCCGAAACTAGTCGCCGGCGGGGCGCGGCTAAAGCTAAAGCTGAAACCACTTTCTCACGGTGGCGAATTCAATAAATTGGTCCCCCGTAGACGTGTTAAACTAAGCCCTGACTGGTTAAAATCGCAGCTTTTACCTACTGACGGGGGTACGAAATGATAAATGCGTGTTTTTATGCCATCACGCATCACGTCACCTTGAGCATAACTGACTCGAAATTTTCCGATTTATTCTCATGGACAATTTTGGAGACGGTCTACTGAGTTTGAAGTAGCGGGTACTGCGCATGTCGTCTTCGATTTGCCTGCCCCGTAAGCTCACAGACAACCAGTAAATTAAAAGGCCAGGAAAAATGACGGTAAGGATAGCTTAAAGGTATCATCGAAGTAAACCTAAACGCCAGAGTTATGTTTCAGGGCACCGGTATTAAAATGAAATTTTCGGCCTTTTTATTTAGAGATAATATATCCAGTGAACAAAATACTTTACAAGGAACCATCCATCACAACTAATGAGAGGCTTCGAAAGTCCCGGGTGACGAGCAGCTCCATCTACGAGCATTTCAGGCAAAAAGCTAGCCACTAGCAAGAAAAATTGTTTCGACTGACGAGCTTCCTTTCCGTTAACAAGCTGTCGGTGCGTGTGTGTGCCTGCATCCACCGTTGAGTCTTGCCCCCAGGATGTGACCCCTTGGTAACTTGCAGCCAATCCGTGAACTGATGCGGTCTGATTGGCTAATTTTCACATGGCGAGCTCAGTGCTGGAACGAGTTAAACTCGCTAATCGAGGTTCTATTGTATTTTATTTCCGTTTAAACCAAGTATCTAATTAACCATCTTCTACTAGGTAGTTTCATTTATGCTGCTTTTCAATAGTTGCAAAGAAGCATTCGTAGTAGACTTAAGGGTTATTTCTATTTGCTATCGCTAATTGCAGAAGTATGATCTAAATTACTATCTTTTGCGTACTACAGGTTTTCAGGGTTATGTGATCCTATGACGATACTTATAAGTTATCCTTATCCTTGTGGTGAGACGCATGTTGCAGTCATTGTGCGACTGCGTGCGATGAAAACGCCCCCCTCCCCAGGGCAGAACATGCGAGGAACAGGGACCCTAATCCAGTCGGTACACGTCCCACTATAATCCATTTGTGGACCTCCTGATATTGGAATTCTTTCCACTTTATATTACTTAAACCAGTAAAGGCCAGGTAAAGAGCAGTGATTGTCAACTAAAACAACGTTTTTGGCTGTTCAGGAGGCTAACTGGTGAGTTCTGAAAGGGAATCAAAAAGAAGGGGACACACTATGAAGCGCAATTGGCAGACTCACAAGTTCCACGCGTCCAAAACCGCCAATGCCGAGGATGGCGATAGGAGCCAGGTCTTCCTGGAGGATAGACTGTCGACCCTTCGCAGCCGACACGGAATTGGAGGCTGTTAGGGGTTTTCGGTTTACTTCGCCCTGAGTGTCCTCGTCCCAAGAGCGAGTGGAGGTCGGGGAGGACCGTTCAGTATCCACATCTGTGTTTGATGAACTGTTGTCGCAGCAGAAGAGAGTAAGGGGGGGAACAACTCAGTTATAGGCTTTTGAAATTGAGCCGTCATTTTCCTGCTCATGATTCACATGTAAAATTATTAAATGCGTTCAGTATTAATCGACTTTTATCCCTCTGTTTATTCGAACTATAACAGTGCAGGAGGCTAGCACTGTTTTAAAGAAAATCCACTTTTGCGACTTATTCAAGGACGATTCGTCACGACTGTGGCAATTGCAGCGTTTAGCCTTCATGTGCTGTTTGTGATTTTCCGGTGTTATATGCATTTTGCCTAATTTTATTAAAGGTGAGTGGAAGACGTTTTGGTGAAAATTTTGAAAGGAAATATTTCCAAATAAAGCTTCTCCCTCTCTCTATAATGCCAGTAAAGAAAGCACGACAGATAGAATTCTGATTTTTCCACAGGCCTGTCACGCGATTGGAATGCGTGACCCAATTCAGCGCACAACATAGGGGAACGAACGCAAATACTGCCCAAGATGATCCATTGGTGACCTCAATCACATGAGTGCAAACACCAAACGCACAAACCTAACTGTTTTTAGTTCGCGTCTTTATAACCCGATGGAGTTCTCAGGACAAATGGCTGAAAGGAAACTTTTTGTGGGCAAAATCATAATCCACAACAAAAGCTACGCACAGGAGATGACGACTGCTGTGCGCCAATAGTCTCTAACCTACTTCCCCCTTTATATCTTCTCAGTTATCAGATGACTACAGATAAGACGACACTAAGACACCAATGCCTGGAGGCGTTAGCACCCATTTACTCCACCGCAGAAAAACCTCACCCGACCTGCATACAAAGAAACCCCAAGCTGGCCTAAAAGTAACATTTGCGGAGAGGATAAGTTCGTTAAGTTTGACCGAAAAAAAGTAAATTGATATCGAAATGCCACCAGCCTAGACCTCGAGGAGGTATGTAAAGTGTTGTCGCTGCTCATGAGGTGTGCTGGCAAGGTGATCTGCCTCTATTTGTGCTTCCAGCTTCCATGGCGTCAATACGTTCCCCGGCCTTACCCTTCCTACATGTGTAGATTGTGTGCAGAATACGCTGCCACCCGAGGCAAAGAGATAATTGCTGCTGTTTAATCGCCTAACTAACTTGGAGTCAATCAGTCAGAAGTTGGCTTTATGGGCTCTGGATCCGAAAGCTTGAACAACATCAAGCCTTCCTCTCTCGGGGCTTAAAGTTCACGGCCTAATGCGATGTAATTATGGTCGTTAAACAGGCGCACTTCCGCTATAAATGACATCAGGAAGTACACGAAAATTCGAAAGATTGT